TTTTTTGGGAGGTTTTTGATAACTGCTTCAATTTTGTTACTAGATATTGGTCTATTCAGGTTGTCAGTTTCTTCCTGATTCAGTTTTGGAAGTTTATAGGTTTCTAGGAATGCATCCATTTCATCTAGGTTGCTTAACTTATTGACATATAACTGTTGATAATAATTTCTGATGATTGTTCTATTTCCTACTTTGCAGCTGTGATCTCTCCCCTTTCATTCATAATTTTATTAATTTGGGTCTTCTCTCTTCTTTTGGATTAGTTTGGCCAGTGGTTTATTGATCTTATTGATTCTTTTAAAAAAACAGTGTCTAGTTTCATAGCTTCTAGTTTCATTGATGTGTTCTACTGTATCTCTAGTTTCTACCTCATTGGTGTCTCTTCTAATCTTGATTATTTCCCTTCTTGTGCATGGGTTGGCTTAATTTGTTGATTTTCCATTTCTTTAAGGCGTAAAGAGAGCTGGTGTATTCTGGATTTTTCAGTTTTTTTGAAGGAGGCTTGAATGACTATGTATTTCTCCCTTAGGACTGCCTTTGTTGTATCCCATAGGTTTTGGACCAATGTGTCTTCATTCTCATTGGCTTCCATGAATTGTTTAAGTTCTTCTTTGATTTCCTGGTTGATCCAAACATTCTTAAGCAGGGTGATCTTTAGCTTCCAAGTGTTTGAATTCCTTCCAAGCTTTTCCTTGTAGTTGAGTTTCAGTTTCAAAGCATTGTGGTCTGAGAATATGCAGGGAACAATCTTTTGGTATTGGTTGAGCCCTGTTTTTTGACCCAGTATGTGGTCTATTCTGGAGAAAGTTCCATATGCACTCAAGAAGAATGAGTATTCTGTTGAGGGAGGAATGTTCTGTATGTATCTGTGAGGTCCATCTGGTCCAATGTGTCATTCAATACTCTTGTTTCTTTATTGATTTTCTGCTTGGATAATCTGTCTATTATTGAGAGTGGTGTTGTATGGGTTGAGATCCCATATTATTAATGTATTCATATCACTATGACTCCTTATCTTGATTAACAGTTGTCTTATGTAGTTAGCTGCTCCCATATTGGGGACATAAATATTTACAATTGTTAGATCTTCTTGGTGGATAGACCCTTTAAGAATGATGTAGTGTCCTTCTTTATCTCTGTCTACATTCTTTAGCCTAAAGTCTATTTATCTGATATGAGAATCACTGCTCCAGCTTTCTTTTGAGGCCCATTGGCATGGAAGATGTTTCTCCGTCCCTTCATTTTCAGTCTGGATATATATTTAGGTTCCAAATTGGTCTCTTTTAGACAGCACATGGATGGTCCTATCATTTTATCCAATCTGCAACTCTGTGCCATTTTATGGGAGCGTTTAGGCCATTCACATTGAGACTGATTATTGAAAGGTATGTTTTTCTTGACATCATGTTGCTTGTGAAGTCCTTGTTTCTATAGATTGTCTGTAAATTTCTATTCTATTTCACTCTTGGGTTCTTTCTTCTTTTATAGAACTCCTCCCCCCACCCCCCTAATATTTCTTGTAATGCTGGCTTGGTGGTCACATACTCCTTTAAACCTCGCTGGTCTTGGAATTTTTTTTATCTCTCCATCCATTTTGAATGTTCATCTTGCTGGATAAAGTATTCTTGGCTGCATGTTCTTCTCATTTAGTGCCCTGAATTCATCTTTCCAGACCTTTCTGGCTTTCCAGGTTTCTGTAGACAGATCTGACATTATTATGATGGACCTTTCTCTGTACCTAAGGAATCTCTTCCCCCTAGCTTCCCTCCGAAGCTCTTGTCTAAAATTATGATTCATCAGTTTCACAATCAAGTGCCTTGTGGTCCTTCTAGATTCACTGAACTTGGTGGAGTATTCTTTCTGCCTCTAGGACATGAATACTGTTTCCATTCCCCAATTGGGAAAATTTTCATCCAGAATTTGTTCAGCTATATCTTCTAGTCATCTCTCTTTCCACTCCCTCAAGGATCCAATAATTCTGACATTGGAATATTTCATGGCATCTTTTATTTTCCTAATTCTGTTTTCATGGCTTCTAAGCTATTTCTTCCATGCCTCCTCCTGATCCCTTTTCTCCATCAGTTTGTCCTCTAGATCACTAATTCTATCTTTTGCTTTGGTTACCCTAGCTGGTAGCAAATTTAGATTAGATTGGATCTCACTAATAGCACTTTTAATTTCTTCCCAGGGGACTTTCACTTCTGCCCTAATCCAATTCCATGTTGATACTAATGGTTTTCTCCAAGCTAGCCTTGTCTGAATAATTGTTACCCTGAATTCCCTTTCTGACATACTGTTTATGTTCATATCCAATAGCTCTGATGGACAGGGCACAGTCTCTGTCTTTTTCCTCTGTTGGGTGTTCTTCCTCCTAGTTGTTTTGGTGAGAGGTGGTTGAGGGGATGTATAGCTGAATATAAAAATTATGATCCAGGCAAGGTGTACCCTGGAACACTTCAGAGCAATTGGAAGTCACCACCAAAAAGATATAAAAAATAAAAAAAAAAAAAGAGAGAGAGAGAGCAAGAGAGAGAAAAAAAGAGAATACCCAGCCAGAATGAGCCACCAAAGTAAGATTTATAAGGTATACAAACAAAAATGGACAAACAAAAGACCAACAAAAGTAAATGACAAGGAAACAAAAAGAACTCAGCCAAAATGAACCCCAAGGATAAGATTTATATAATACCAGAACAAAAACAAATACACAGAAACACTGACAGAGGAAAAAGATGGGAGGATAGTTATAAATCCTCAATGTGGGAGAGGAAGGTTATTTTGATTCTTCCTGGGTGTGTCTTGATATTTTGTTAAAGGACTCAACTTTCCAGAGATAAAGGGAGATTAAAACTGGTTTATATATAGGGGTAGTATTGATTAGGGAAAGAGGATTACCTTGAAGCTTATATCTATATGTATATTAAAAAAATAGAAAAGAAAAAGAAAACACAGGTATATATATATGAAAAAAGTTCAAGTTAAAAGGTTATTATGGAATTTGTTGTATTGAACCTCTCGTTGTAATGGTAAATAGGTTAAAAAAATTAAAAAGAATGAGAATAGTGAGAATGAATTAAAAATAAATGTTGTGTCTATGAAATATACAGCTTTTGGGGCAATACAGGGGGCTTAATATCTTCTTTTCCCCTGATGTTGGGGTTTTACAATTTTATGGGGACCCTGGGTGGTTGACCTCTCATTCTTTTGGCTTGTTTTCTTGGGGAGGACCTGCTGCATTGTTTTTCAGTCAGTCTTGCTTGGGTTGAGTCCTCCTCCCCCTGTCAAAGGGCTGGGCTCTGTGGAAACCGATCTTTTAGCCTTTTGTTCTCTGAAGGTTTTTGTTCTTTGGTGGCTTTTTTCAGCTTTTCAGAGGTTTAGTGGAAAGCAAACTGCAGCCAGACCTCCATCTCAGAGAGAAGCCTCAGTCTGCTACCCTCTGGGTGGTCCAGAACACACAGACTCCCTCTTTGCAAACTCCACTGAACCGTGCAGCCTCCCACAGGCAGTGCATGTCCCCAGCCACCATCTCAGGGTCACCTGAAGTGCCCACTTGTCTCTACACCCAAGTGTCACTAAAACTGTGAATGGTATTGGTTCAGGGGGCTGCTTCTGGTGGCTGCCTTTGCTGGGACTGCTGTCTGGGGCCCAGACCTCGCAGTTGCACAGGTCGCCACTGAGGGATCCCGACCAGAGATTGTGCTGACTCCTTCAGGCCTGGGCTGGGAGCATCCAGACCCACAGCTGGTCCTAGAGATCACTGGCTAGAACCTGAACAGAGCTTTTTCAGGCATGGGTGGGGAGTGGGTCAGACCCTGGTATCACAGTGCTCGCAAGAGGGTGAAAGGCTGTAGTTCTAGAGAGCACAGGCTGGCACCCACACCAGACTCCCTCTTGCTGGGGCGGGAGTGCACCCAGCCAAGTAGTGATGAAGCCCCACAACCCCAGGGGCTCAGGGACCAGGAACTGGAGGCTCCACTGCACTCTCTCCAGCATGGGTGGGTGCCTGCAGTGACCGCCCTTGGTCCATGGCTTAGACCATGCCCATGACCGTCTGATTCCATCAGTTGCCCCTTAAGATCTTTTGCTCTTTTTGAGTGCTTTTAACCAGACTCCTAGTTAATGCTGGTTCCCAATCACAGGACACTCTCATATTGGGGGTATTACTTTCCAGTGGGTCACTTCTGGTGGCTTCCTTCCCTTCTGTTTATTCTGCGATATCTGTCCAAGCATTCCCACTCTGCTTTACCTCTCCACTGGTGTCTTCTGCCCCTGTAGAGATCTGGAAGTGTATAATCCTACATCTCAGGCTGATTTCATAGGTGTTCAAAGTGTTCTGGTAGATAATTAGCTCATTTTAGGGGACTGGTTGAAACAGGATCTCCTACTTCTCTGCTATCTTTTCAATAAAGCTGCTAATTCTCTTATGTGACTACTAGAAACATTTTAGAGATTCTTCATTCCAAAAGGCCAGAAGGTTGCTGTGTTTTCCTTCAGGAAGGAGATGGATATTTATTGTAATCATAGATGTAAAGCAGTAGGCAAGTGAAGATGATGTTTGCTTTGGCTGAATATTATTTATGCCAGGTCCATGGTGAAGGTCAATATAAAGGGTTTTAAGGAACTACACTAAAATTATAGCTAATTGTTACCACTGGAGAAAAAGAGGGTGGTCTTATCTATTCTAAATTTTATGGAATTTTTATATTGAATGAGTATATAATCAGAAAAAGAAACTAACTGCATCAATTTCATGGTAACTTGAAGATGAATACTAGGGTTGGGAGGAAATTGAAGAATCTAGATGCACGTGTGGAAACAAGGAGCAAAAGATCTGAAAACAAAGTGAAAGAATTATTTTAAAGGAAATAATTTTATGATGTCCAGGTAAATGAATGAGCAAAAATTATACTAAATAAAGAAAACAACCATGGTTAATTCAACTTGCTTTCAAAGTGATTAGAAGCATGCCAAATTGAATTCTGACTCTCCAAAATTCTTACCTGCTTCATTTGTGCGGATCATTCGAGATGGGGTGCTTGGATCTCCAGTCCCAATTGGATTGGTGGCCACCACTCTAAATTCATATTCCACCCAAGGGTTAAGGTCTACTGCCATAGCTGACTCCATGTCCCCTGTTATAATTTCTGGGACTATGGAGGGGAAAGAGATTTCATGGCATTAGGAGGATTCAGAAATAGTTACAAATGACAATCAAGGATATCATAGATACTAACAGAATCAGCAGGTCCATGCATAATTCCTTATTATGCATGGTCATTGTGTCACCTCTGGTCTCATTAGTAAAATGAAAATCAATCTTCAGGAAATAAGCACTTGCACATGTTAAAGATTGTTGTAGTTGATTAGAATTCTTTCATCTCATCTTAATACATAAATTGCTATAACAAAACTTGCCATTATGTACCCTAAAATCATTTTGTCAAACCCTCAGCTTCAAATAAGAAGGAAACTAAGTGTTATAATTTAAGCAAACGGTTCTTAAATTTCTAGGGAATTTTCTTGAGCAATTTGCCTCTTGCAGTTCTGGCAAACATGCTTGGCCACTTGGCAGTTCAAAGCAGTGGATTAAGAATACACCTCTTTAATTAAAAAAAAAAAAAACCCAGTTTGTGCATTCTAAGTGGAAGCTTTGCAGCTTTTCTTGGAGTGAATTTTGTACAATATTTTGATTTTATTAAGGTATAAAATTGTCAATGCAATTATTACAGAGTAAAATACTTGTTACATAGTATATATATTCTAATTGAGACTGATTTTCTTGTTCACTCATCTCTGCTGTTTAGGAAATATTTCTGGAAGAACATTTGCTACATGGGTGATAATAGGGAAAAGGGAGAACCTTCCTTATGATGTGCAAAGATCCTGGAGATCTATGTCAGTCCTAGATTTTTGTTTAAGCATGGTAAGATGGGGGAGGCTTTTGATTTGATGACTCAGTGCAGTTTTACTATGACAAGATGGAATTAAATGCATTTGGATTTTATATGAAAATTTCTTTTGAAACGTGTCAAGAGAATGTTACCAACTAATCAGTCCATGAAAGGTAAATGATCAGACCATAGGCAGTGTGGGCTGCCTGACAAATCTCTTAGCACCAAAAAGCTGATTTTTTTTTTTTTTCCAACAGTGAAATCAGACCCGGGGGCAATAGTCTGTCTCTTCTTGCTGCACTGACAACTGAGCAATATCCTTGGAGTCTAAGAGATAGAGGGAGAAAGGCCACCACCCAGTCTATAACTTGGTGAAATGCTGAGTTGTGCTTGCCAAACATAAATGTAAAAGAAGAGTTCCCCAGATACTTAGCCCTCTCTAGCCCCTAACCTACATTTTATCATCAATACTTGTTTTGGTCCACCAAAGAAGTACCTCACTGCTTAATTTACATCTGTTTGTCAGTCACCTCAAACAACTCCAGATATCTAGGTCATCCCTCAACCCTTTAATTCCAATCCTGATTGAATTCTGCACATTTCTTTTTCTGACCTAGTTCCCATCCTTCCCTACTCTGTGAAATCTTTTACTGTGACCTCTGGAATTCATTATCCAGTATTAGCAAAATCCCCTGTATCCTATTTTCTTCCTGAACTTTCTTCCAATGTTTACTTTAATAGAAACCTGAATCTTCTATGAGGAAATGTTTTGCCTCTTAAGAGGTGACTCTCTTAAGATATTGTAGAGAAGGGTAACAGTCTGTTTGGGCTGTGTACACCCCCTCCTGTGTCTCTAATGGATTTTTCACATTAGCATAAAAGCATGCAGGTACCCCCCCCAAAAAAAAACACAACAAAACAAAACTCTAAAAATTTCCTCTCCTTTGGTTTTCATCCAGTTTCTATGTAAAATATCTTGAGTGCTATTTGTGCTATTATTTGTTATCTCTACTTACTTTTCTTCCATTTCCTCTTGAACTCACCCCAAACATAAAAGTAGGAAGAAGAGATTCTATTTTTTAGGCTCTTACCTCCAGCATTCTACCATAACTACTCCTGTCAAGATTACCAATGTTCTTTATTAATAAAACCCTATAGTTAGGTCTCTGTTCCTCATTTTTCTTGACCTAAAATCATTATTTGACATAATCATTCTCTTTTTTTGAAATACTAAAACTTAATTTTCTCTGACCTATGTCTTATCAATCTCTATTGCTGGTTTCTTTTCATCTTCCAGATGCACCCGGTTCTACTAACTCTTTGGTGATCTTATCTAGTCTCATAGTTTAAAATACCATCTGTAGGTCATGACACCAGTATTTTCAGTCATGAACCTCTTCTCTGGTCTCCAAACTCATTTTTCCAATGGCGCATTAGACATTTCTATTTGGATAGGGTTCTCAAACTTAACTTCCACTCCCTATTTCTAAACTATTCCTTATTGGGTGAATGATAATTGTGTTTTTATGGATGTTATAGCCAAGATCTTGGGGTCATCATGGATCCCTTTCTTTTCCCTCTGTCTCAGTTCAACCCATAAGCAACTATAAAATTGATTATATCAAAATATGATTTCCTTTTTTTTTTAAAGATTTTATTTATTTATTTGACAGACAGAGATCACAAGTAGGCAGAGAGGCAGGCAGAGAGAGAGGAGGAAGCAGGCTCCCCACGGAGCAGAGAGCCCGATGTGGGGCTCGATCCCAGGACCCTGGGATCACGACCTGAGCCGAAGGCAGAGGCTTTAACCCACTGAGCCACCCAGGCGCCCCTCAAAATATGATTTCTTTACTTCATTTTGCAACAAAATTTCTTAAGAGAGTCATCTATATTTTTTCATTCTCTCTTTTTTGAAAAATTGAATTAATATACAGTGATATATTAGTTTTAGGTATACAATATAATGATTCAAAAATTTTATGCATTACTCAATGCTCATCAAGATAAGTGTAGTCTTGATTTCCTTTATCTTTTTACTCCCCCCCCCCAACACGACTATTTCCCCTCTGGCAACCATCAGTTTATTCTCAGTATTTAAGTGTCTGTTTTTTTTTAATCTCCTTTTTTATGTTTGTTTTGTTTCTTAAATTCCACATATAAGTGAAATCATATAGTCTTTGTCTTTCTCTGACTAACTTACTTCACTTAGCATTATACTCTCTAGGTCCATCCGTGTTGTTGTAAATAGCAAGATCTCATTCTTTCTTATGGCTTTTTTTATTCTATTGTTTATATGTAGCATATCTTCTTTATCCAATCATCTATTAATGGACACTTTGGTTGCTTCCCTGTCTTGCCTATTATAAATAATGCTGCAATAAATACATGTATCTTTTCAAATTAGTGTTTTATTTTCCTTTGGGTAGATAGCTAGTAGTGGAATTTCTCATTCATATGGTGATTCTATTTTTAACTTTTTGAGGAACCTCCATACTGTTTTCCACGGTGGCACCAATGTATTCCAATGTATTCCTACCAACAGTGCACAAAGCTTCATTTTTCTCTACATCATTGCCAACACTTGTTATTGCTTGTTTACTGGATACTAACCATTTTGACAGGTGTGTATCTCCCTGTGGTTTTGATTTGTATTTCCCTGAATGATTAGTGATATTGAACATCTTTCCATGTGACTGTTGATCATCTGTATATCTTCTTTGGAAAAATGCTTATTCAAGTCCTTTGTCCATTTTATTTATTTATTTAAAGATTTTATTTATTTATTTGACAGAGATCACAAGTAGGCAGACAGGCAGGCAGAGAGAGAGAGCAGAAGAAGCAGGCTCCTCGATGAGCAGAGGGCCCAATGCGGGGCTCGATCCCAGGACCCTGGGATCATGACCTGAGCTGAAGGCAGAGGCTTTAACCCACTGAGCCACCCAGGTGCCCCAAGTCCTGTGCACATTTTAAAATCAGACTATTGGGTTATTTTGGTGTTGAGTTGTTCTTTATATATTTTGGGTATTGACTCCTTACCAGATAAATGATTTACAAATATCTTCTCCCATTTAGTAGATTGTATTTTTGTTTTGTAAATGTTTCCTTCACTGTGCAAAAGCTTTTTATTTTGGTGCAATCCCAATAGTCTAATTTTGCTATTGTTTTCCTTGCCTTTGGAGACAGATCTAGAAAAATGTTGCTGTGGCTGATGTCAAAAGAAATGACTGCTTATGTTTTCTTTTAGGAATTTTATGATTTCAAATCTCACATTTAGGCCTTTAATCTATTTTGAGTTTATTTTTGCATGTAGAGTAAGAAAGTAGTGCAGTTTTAACCTTTTGCATATAGCTACCCACTTTCTCCAGCACCACTTATTGAAGAGACTGTCTTTTCCCCATTGAATATTCTTGCCTCCTTTGTTGTAGGATAATTGACTAGATATGTGTGGAATTTATTTTTGGGTTCTCTATTATGTTTGATTGTTCTGTGTCTATTTCTACACCAATACCATGCTGTTTTACTACAGCTTTGCAGTATATATTGGAATCTAGGAATGTGATACCTCCAGCTTTGCTCTTTTTTTTTTTTTTTCTTTTTCCTCAAGATTCCTTTGGCTATTCAGGGTCTTGTTACATACAAATTTTAGTATTATTTGTTCTATTTCTGTGAAAAATGCTATTGATATTTTTGATAAGGATTACCTGAAGTCTGTAGATTGCTTTGGATATATGGACATTTTAACAAAATTTGTTCTTCCAATCCATGAGCAAGAATATCTTTTTATTTGTTTGGGTCATCTTTAATTTCTTTCATCAGTGTTTTATAGTTTTCAATGTATAGGTCTCTCACCTCCTTAGATATCTTTATTTCTAGGTATTTTATTAATTTTGATGTAACTATAAAGGGAATTATTTTCTTAATTTCTCTTTCTGCTACTTCATTACCAACACAGAAATGCAACAGTTTCTGTATATTAATTTTATGTCCTGTGACTTCATTGAATTAATTTATGGTTCTAGGTTGTTTGTTTATTTGTTTGTGGAGTCTTCAGTGTTTTCTCTATATAATATCATGTTATCTGCAAATAGTGAGTTTTACTTCTGTCTTACCAATTTGGTTGGCTTTTGTTAATTTTTCTTGTGTGATTGCTTTGGCTAGGAATTCCAGTACTGTGATAAATAAAAGTGGTGGAAGTGGACATCCTTGTCTTGGTTCCTGATCTTAGAGAAAGGCTCCCAGTTTTCATTATTAGGTATGAT